CTGTTTTTCACAATTCACCCCACGTCAGTGGAAATGTTTTTAAATTTATTTTACAGCAGGCATTAATACATGACCTCTTGGATTTGGCACTAGCTGTACATTTTCTGACAAATTCCATGATCTCAGTTCATGCACTGCAGTGCAATCCGCCCCCAATAAACTGGTAACAGCACTTCCATCTAGAACACGATGAACTGGAGGTCTGAAGTTACCTTTTCATCTACTATTCAGCAATAACATGTACAAATTTAATTGGCTTTCTATGGGAGAGGTGTAGAGTTATTTACTAGAAAATTGCTTCATTGTCTTAGGCCTGCACAGGAAATTTCATTGCTTTAACCCTAGCCTCTCCCTTTGTCTTTAGACTAAATCCTTGGGGTGGATTACGTGCGAGTGTGTGAACATGTGAGTATGTGAGTGTGAGTGCATGCAAGTGCACCTGCAAGTGTGAATGTGTGAGTGTTAATGTGAGTGAGTGTGAGTCAGTTGAGTGTGTGAATCTGAGTCAGTGTGAGTGAGTGTATAGATCATTGATTTATAGTAAAAGTAGTTAGCTGTGCTTTACACTTGTTACAACTGGAAAGAAAGATGAATTCTAAAGGAATTTTGTATGTTCTGTAAAATCTTGATTGACTCAATACAAGGAAACGCAGAGAGAATTCTCCCTGGCCTCTCTCTAAATGTTTTTCTATTTGAATTAATGTAACTGGGAGTTCGTCTGAATCTGACGTTTCCTGTCAAGATTTTGAAAAGAGTAAAAGAGAAAGCTCTGAGCATCCAGGACTCGGGAAATGTCTCCGAGCAACAATCTGGCACGTGTTACAATGCTTCCTGTTCACAGTTGTTTCTGAGCTTCTTTTTCAGTCCTTAGGGTGTCTGACACATGCAGAAAACCATCACCATGCTTTAGAGTATCCAAACCAAACTGAGAATTCTATGCATCCCACCTACACATGGAAATTCCCATGTCTGGAATGGAATGCGCACTCTCTTGCCCGAAGAGTATTAGGGGTAGGTTGGCAAGAGCAAAGGCTTGGGGAGCAGAGTGTGCGTTGGGGTGCTTCTGGACTTTCACCAGCTAAAAAAACACACTACCTGACAAGCTTTCCAACTGCTTATCCAGCTAAGACCACCCTACCGGTTGGGGCTTTGGCTTGCAGGGTTAACATTAGCAGAGTGGGATGACTCTCTGCCCCCAATGTCGTCTGCCCCTCCATGTCCTGTCGATGAACCAGGCTTTCTGTGCTGTCATCAGCAGTGCCCTGAAATACCGCGGACCCATCTGGCTCAGGAACTGGACTATAACAGAGGGTTGGCATTCAGTTATCAAACATGTCACCTTGGAGCCAGATCGGCTCCCAGGAGACTCAGATTATCTTCACCCTTAAGGTGGATAGATTTTTTTCTGCATCACATTTCCAATCCTCACCACCATCCTCGAAACAACCTCAGCAATATCTGATGGTGGACAGTGGCCTGCTTACTTCTTAATTGTAAGACCTCAGGTCATTGATAAATACTGCTCAAACCAGCATTCATGTCAGAGAAATACTTGAAATGAAACAGTGAACATTTTAGAGAATATTTAACTTTGAAATCAGAAGCATAAAGTACAGCATAAAGCAGCCCAGAGTTGCTTGTTGCTAGGAACATAGGAACACAGGAACTTAGGAAACAATCTAATTAATTACAGCATTCAATCACACTTAAAAGCTCTGCATTTAACCAGCGAAATAGATGAGGCACAATTTCCATACAGGGTAACCAAGATGTATTGGAATGAGGTGGCCTGGCATGTTTTATGCTGCATTCATATTGACCTCTGGATACACCTTGAGTGACCTTGATATTTCAGCAACCCTAACTTTTATGCAGTACTATTTCACATTGGTGGAATGTATCAAACAGCTTTACACAGTTGGCTGGACAACCGAGGCAGGCAGCTGCTGGAGTGGGGAGGAGAAAGATGCCAAAAAGCACGATTCTAGGTAAGCTTTGGAGCTGAGGAGGAAAAGGTCAGTCGGAGGGATTTCAGCGAATGGTAGAAAGTTTACGATCATAATTCTAGCAACCCTCTGTGAAAAAAAGGTTCTTCCGACCTCCCTCTTTTACAGCTTCATACTTGTGTTTGAAAACCTTGCTGTCTTTCTGGTTTTCTTTTTATGCATCTGTATAGACCTCTCATTGTATGCATATCATGATGGTATACATTCTGTAGATGTGCGTAACTTGTTTTTATAATAATAATAATCCTTGCATTTGATATAGCGCTTTTCACGTCTTCTAGACGTCTCAAAGTGCTTCACAGAATATGCTGTAAAGTGAATTGACGGTACATTTGTGGGCAAAACGGGGCAACCAGTTGCGCACAGCAGTGACCCACAAACAGTCTTGGATTGAAAATGACCAATTTATTATTGTTTCGTTTTGGAGGGATAAGTATCAGGCGTGTGGAGTAAAGAAACTTGCCCAAGGTTTCGCCCTGCCTGGAATTGAACCCAGATGTCTCGCTTGCAAGGCGAGTGCTCTAACCACTGAGTTACAGGACTCCACACTGAGCTACAGGACATTATATTATTTTACCTCAATTGACTCATTTGCCTCAATAATAGTGGCGGGGGGAAATCGGGGAGAGAAAGTTTAGGAGCTTCACCCGTACATGAGACTTCTGACAAGTTTTCTTCCCAGACCCATTAGCATAAAACATTGCAGTCCGATTATAACAAACTTCATCATCACATGAATTTAGTTATAAAGCGTTGCACTATGGATCCAATGGATCAACTACACAATTCCCATCCCCTGGGGTGGTGTTTCACACTAAAATGGCAGCTTTCTGGGTCATTAGAACATTTTTCAATGGAATACTCTATAAACCATGTTCTCCACTATAAAATGTAGTTTCTGGTCTTGGGCTTCTCGCGCTGTTACCCGACCCAACTGTGGGTGGGGCGGCTCTGGATGTGCATGCGAGGTGCGGTGCAAGCGGGAAATGGGCTTCTCTCTACTCGGGAGGCCCCACTGTTGTGACTGTCTGTGTGGCTCTATGTGTGTGTGTGTTTGTGAGTGTCTGTGTGTGAGTGTGTGTCTCTCTTTCTCTATATGTTTGTGAGTGTTGGTGTATGAGAGTGTGTCTCTCTCGCTATGTGTTTGTGAGTGTTGGTGTGTGAGTGTGTGTCACTGTGTCTGTGTGAGTGTGTTCTTCTTTCTATGTGTTTGTGAGTGTTGGTGTGTGAGTATGTGTCTCTCTCTGTGGTTGTGTGTGATGCCGGCCAGGAGTCAGGAGGTGGTGAGCTCCTGTAGCCACACAGTCCTGAGTGTCTGTTTTGGTAAATCTCAAGGCCCTTCAGGCCTGCGCTGGTGTCCACCTCCCTCCGCATCACTCAAAAATGCCACCCAGTTTTTGTTTGAAGAAAAAATTCATGATTCTTTTTGCAAAAATCTAACATTTGTTATTTCCTCATGTTCAGTTTTTATCAATAAATTGTAGGTTGGCAGTAAAATGTACCTCAATAGCACCAATCAACTTCACTGCAAATCAGCTTCTTTTTCTTTTAGTGCGGAACTAATAAACCACTTGTAGGCGAAATATGGCAGCCAATTGCACCCAGCAGCGTCCCACAGACAGCCATGGATTGAGTGACCAAATTATTATTTTTATTATTATTTATTTTTTTGAAGGGATTATTACCCCCAGAAAACGATCCGACATTCGACTAACAACCGGGTTCCTACTTACTGCTAGGTAAACAGAGGTGTGCGGAGTGAGAAAATTTGTCCAACGTTTTGCCCTGCTGGCAATCAAACCCAGGGACTCTTGCTTGCGAGGCGAGTGCTCTAACCACGGAGCTGCAGGACTATTTGGGATGTTTTAGTATGACAGATTAAACTTGGTATTGCTCCCCAGAGAGTTGTCTCCTGACTTCAGATTAGGAATTCAACGCTTGATTAAACAGTTCAACGAGAAGCCAGCAATGGAAGTATTCTGCTGTAGCTGTACCAGAATCAGAGAATGAGCTTCCTCAGTTGAATTTCCCAGCTAGGCTAGCCCTCGTTTTGCTGTCAATGCAATTTCCCTTGTTATTGAAATAAAGGGAAACACCAAGCAAAATGAATCACTGGATTGTTGTTATAAACCCTTTCCTTGACAGACGTGCTGCTTTAATAGCTGCAACCAAAATAAACTCTGAACCACAGGAGATAATGTTCGTTACTCTCTGCCTGAAGTAGGAATGCTTCAAAAAGCTGTAAAAGTGAATTTAAGGTTAATGACACACAAGGCAGGCCTCTGTCTGGATTTCAGTTCCAAAATACAAATAAAACCTTGCTAGCTTATGAATTCAAGATGCATTACAACAACACTCCACTTTGTGGAGTCCCATAGCATAGTGCGCAGTGTGCCCACCTCGCAAGCGTGAGGACCCGGGTTCAATTCTCGGGCAGGAAGTTTCCTTACTCCACCCGCCTCTGTTCACCTAGCAGTAAGTAGGAACCTGGTTGTTAGTCAATTGGCAGATCGCTTTCTGGGGGTAATAATCCCTCCGAAAACAATATTTGGTCACTCAATCCATGGTTGTATGTGGGGCACTGCTGTGCACAATTGGCTGCCCTGTTTCGCCCAAAAAATAAACAGTCAATCCACTTTACAATGTATTGTGTGAAACGCTTTGAAACGTTTCAATGACATGATAAGGCGCTAGATCAAATGCAAGGTTATTATTATTATAACACAGCTTACACTAACATACTGCCTTTCACATTGGATAATGTCGTGGAGCACTTTACAGGGATGGTAAGGAAACCCAAGCAAGATGGGAAATGTGAAAGGGGTGGAGGCAAATGGTAAGAGGGAAATGACTGAAGGCATAGTCGCAGAGGTAGAATTTTAGAAGAGTTTTGAAAACAGGGTGGGAGTGGGAGAGGGAGGTGGGGAGTTTGTGAGGGAGATCCAGGGAACAGCAGAGCAAGGCTGAAAGCTTTGTTATATAAGAGTCACCAACCTTCTGCCACATTTTGATGAAGAATAGCTCCTGAGAGAAGTTAAAGAAAACATTGGTGTCGTATGCGTCATCGCCTGCATTTCGAATGGTGATGTTGACAGAGATGTTCTTCACAGCCCCCAGTGCCAGGAAAGGCTTATGCTCCATAGAACTAGAAATTAGAAAACAAGAGGTCAGTAACGTCTCCTCATGAAGACAGGAGGGCAGGCCTTCCTGAAGTGCAGTCCAGTGTTTTGAGTTAATAAGCTGATCCTGGATACTCACAAGTATCAACTACAGTTTCATAGTCGTTTCATCCAACTGATTTCTACTGGTTAATATTATTGTCAGGTTGCAAACAAATAATAATAATCTTTGTATTTGGTATAGTACCTATACCAAATACAAAGATTATTATTATTTGTTGGACTTCTATGTGGAGTCCTGTAGCTCAGTGGTTAGAGCACTCGCTTTGCAAGCGAGAGACCTGAGTTCAATTCCAGGCAGAGGGCGAAACCTTGGGCAAGTTTCCTTACTCCACACGCCTAATAATAATCCCTCCAAAACCCAAAACAATAATAAATTGGTCATTTTCAATCTACGACTGTTTGTGGGACATTGCTGTGCGCAATTGGCTGCCGCGTTTGCCCACAAATATACAGTCAATTCACTTTACAGTGTGTTCTGTGAAGCGCTTTGGGACGTCCTCCCGACGTGAAAAGCGCTATATCAAATACAAGGATTATTATTATTATTATATTATTATTACCTATCATATTGGGAGGATGCCACAAAGCACAGGATCTTACTGTAAAATGGTAAATTGTAGCTAACTTTTTTTAAAAGCAATTGACAGTCTAGTAAAATCCACTGTATAAATCACATGCTCAGTGAAGAGTTTTACAGCCTGTGATGTTCAATGTTCTGTGCTCAGTGTAAAATCTAGAGTAGAAACTTTACATCAACGCAGTCTGTGCTGGGAGTGGAATTTACCACTAATCTACTGTTGTACAGGTACACTGAACAAATTTCCAGGAACATTATGATTTTGCTTGTCCCATTATCATGTACCGTGGCCACGAACCAACCTTGCAATTGCTGTTCACACTCAAGTTGGTGATGGCATAATAGACAAAACACAAAATAAACTGAAATAATTGAAAACAGTACGTAATAAACAACAATTTAGGCTCCAGGGTAGGATTTCAACACACTCATTTAGGTTCAGATCCCTCAGTTCAATAACTGCTTCACAACTCCTTTCGGGACAAGTGGTGTTGTGCCCCACAAGCCATTAATAATGGGGAAATCGCATCACAAGATCAACAACAACAACAAGATTCCATTTATAGAGTGCCTTTCACGTCGGGAGGACGGCCCAAGGCGCTGTACAGTTGGGTCAGGACCCGAGCATGGAGGAAATGGTCAGGGTGAGGGGAGGGAAGGGAGGGAGGGAGCGAGGAGGGGGGAAATGGTCAGGGTGAGGGGAGGGAAGGGAGGGAGCGAGGAGGGGATAGAGAGTCGAGAGGGGAGCTGAAGGCACGGTCAAAGAGAAAGGTCTTGAGACCGGCCTTGAAGGAGGAACGGGAGGAAACAAGGCGAAGGCACTGGGGGATAGATCACAACAGCAGTTGGGATGAGGAAGGCACTTTAGCCCATTTGCTCTCATCCTTCTAGAATATGAAAAACGGGCATCATCAAAGTTCAACAAACTGCTGGACCACAAAGTCTCAGAATTTCGCAGGTTGATAGGTTTCTTGATGTTTGCCGTTTGATCCTCTCTGGGCGCTGAGGCAAAATCTCCATTTAACATCACAGGAGCACCATCGCCAGGGGACAGCAGTGGTTATTAATAAGAAGGTCCACCACCACCTTCTTGGGGCAACCAGGAACGCTTGTCCTGCCAGAGTCACCCAAATCTCGAGATAGAATAAACTTCCCACTAACCTACAAATATTAGATGCATGTCCCACCCACCAACAAACAGAATAAAGTCACGTTTACTAGAGAACAGCTCAGACAGCTCGACGATGGATATTATCGTTGCACTTTGCTTCATGTTCCGACGTAGATTTTATATTCCATTTCTTCCCTAAAAATACAGTACGCTGCATTTTAATCTCTATACATTTATTAGCTTCTTGTTTTTCTATGGGTGCTGTGACTACCACTGCGTAATGCTGATCATCAGACGGCTTTTGAGATCTCAACCCAATAGGTATTCTTCATATGTGAATCTGCAAACTGAGTGTCAGGAGTAGATTTTAGGAGCGTGAAACCTGATCTGATCCTGTTGTTACAGGACACCCAAACACACATACTTTTCAGCCTTCTTTACCAGATGACAAGCAGGATTCCCACCCCCATCTCCCCCGAGAAAAGCCTGGGGAGTTGAGGACCAATTGCAGCATCCTTACTGCTGCCCTATTGTAAGTGGGGATACTGCATTTAATTAGTAGCTTTCACATAGCATAACATATCCAAGCACTTTAATACTTAAAAGGTTTTATCCCAAATATAGGTGGGGTGAAGGCAAGAGAAAGAGGAGCACCAATGTGCACTTATACAGTGTTTTTCAGGTAGAGGTACACCTCAAAGTGCTTTAGTGACAGTGTGGGAGACTGAGGTGGGTATGAGATACGGGTTAGAGGATAGATGGCTGGAGGCCAAAGAGATAAATACTTCGGCAATTTTTGAAAGCAGAAAGGGAGGGAGGAAGAGGAAGGGAAACAGAGGGATTCAGAACAGAATTCCAGAGATTGGGTCCAACGGGGCTGAAAGCTCACTCACTGATGGTGGGGCAGGCAGGGGAAGAAGGGTAGGAGAGAGAGGAGGATATGAAGCAGGCCTGAGTCAACAAATGGAGAGGGGAGTTGGACTGCAGGAGATCACAAATGAGAAAAGGAGAGATCTATTTTCCCCCCATATTAGCTCAGTGGGGGAAAAGTGATCTCTGTGATGTCAGAAGAATCAGGAAACCATACACATTGGTTCGATGCCTGAGGCAAAATAAAGCATGTGTATTAATCATTTGAATAGTATGTTTCACTGTATAAATAAACACACAGAAAGGGTATATGTGGAGAGACCTGGTACCTTTGGCAGCACAAAGCGAACAGAACTCCAATTTAGAAGAGCAGAGTTCAAATTCCAGGCTCAAACTCAACTCGACTCAGTAAACAAACCTGAACAGTTCTATGACAGCTTCACAGTGAGGGGAGCATTGCACCTCGAGGGATAAAAAACGCAACAGAATCTTTCCTGGCCACAGAGCTGCCAGTCACAAAACTACACTGAGAAAGACTCTAGAAAAGCATCCATCCATTCTTCCCCTTTTTTTTCTTGTTTGTTGCATTTTTCCCACAAAATACAGTCACTAAACTTTACAGCGCTCCGAGGCATCTCAACAAATGCGATAAGGCGCTATATCAATGTCAGTGGTGCCTTCTTCAGATGAGAAGTGCTTTGAGCTTTTTTATGTTATAAAATATATCAAATGCAGGGATTATTATTATAAGCATTTCACCGATGATTAATTGAAGTTGATTTAACAGCAAAGCTACAACAAAAAAACATGATGTAAATCAACAATGTATCTGTGGTTTGTTGGCCAGGAAAACTGGTAAAATCCCCTTCCCTTTTCCAACTGTGTCCTGGATTCTTTGGCTTCCACCTGAACAGAAATATAGGATTCTTGGTTTAATAATAATCCTTAAATTTGAAACAACCCTTTTTATTTCAGGCGGACATACTGTAAAGTGGAGTGACTGTGCATTTTGAAGGCAAACACAGCAGCCAAGTTGAGCACAGCAATATCCCACAAATTGCCATGAAGTGAGTAGCCAACTTTATTCAGGGGATTGTCTGCCAGTACACAGGGATCTTTAACGTTCACCTGAACAGGTAGATGGGACCTCAGGTTAACGTCTCGACTGAAAGATGACACTTCCAACAACACAGCACTCCCTCAACATTGCACTTGAGTATCTCCAGCACCTTGGGATGTCCTCCTGATATGAAAGGCGCCATACAAATGTAATTTGTTGTTGTTGCCCAGACTGTGAGAGCTCTTTAGGTGAAAACACTAGTGAATGGTTAAATGTGAATGGCTGTTGTTCAGCATATAGATAAGAGTTTAAATAAAGTTGCAAACTAAATAAAGGATGAAAGCCAAGATAAATCGGCAGGAATAAACAATCTTCGATTGGGTCACAAAAGATTGTTTTAATAATTTTTGCTGTCCAATACCAAATTGTTACGTCACTGCGAAAACATTCATATTCATATATTTTTTTAATTCGAAATTACATTGACACAAAAAAATGAAACAAACGGTCAGTGTTATGGATGTAGGGCAAATGCTGCATCTGAATGTGTTTTATTGAAGAAATTTTGGCAGCGCAGTTGACTGGAAAATCTGAAAATAGAAGACTTTCATGGCTGCGCAGTCAGGAGGGCGGTATTTTATAAATTGCTTTTCCACTGTTTTATGGCACTCGACGTGACTTAACCACAGAAAAATTAAACAGCACCTCTTCCGTGGGTGCTCTGCCAAGTGGGAAGTCATGAAGAATAAAAGATCTTATAAACACTGCAAAGCTACAAAGTCTCAGTCCCTTTAAACATTTGTTTCTCCTAATAACTTTAAAATTATGCTGTTTGAAAAAATGCTGAATTCATTTAAAAATAACTCCCAAAAGCTATAAGCCCCAGCAACACTGACAAGGAAACATTCCATCATAAAACACATTATACGCTCTTAACTACAAACAGTCTTCAGCTACATATGCACCATTAGCATGAAACCCACAAAGCACACCTCAATATGTACCTATTTGACCAAGCTTTTCGATATCTTCTGACCTGAAGATGGGGAAGGAAGGAGCAAGATGGAGGGATAGAGGAAGAGTGTTTCAGAGTTTCAGGGTGTAATGGCTGAAAGCGCAGCCACCGATGGTGGAATGAATATCAGATTAAAGAGAAAGGAGACAGCTCACGTGGACACAGCCACTCTCTTTCTCACACACACATTCTCTCATACACTAGCTCACGCAAACACACATTCTCTCTTATAACATAAAAATGAGTACATGCACAGAAATAACTATGTTTGCAGAGACTTACTACCACAGTTTAATAACAGAAAGCCACTTCTCATTAGTGTTGTGCTGACGAATTAGAATTGGATTCTGAGCGGACAATTGGAGGATAAAGTTTGAACAATCCTGAAGCCAGATTGGAGACTACCTTTTTCTCCCCTGGACAGTGGTGAATATATGATATAGTTTCTCAGTGAAAGTAGATGACATTCTTTCGATTTGCTGCTTCCAGAAATGGGTATGTATGTGATTTAGAACAGTACAGGAGATTCTTGGGACAGGTACAAAATCGCGAAAGAACCCAGGAGACACAATGGTTGCTATGTGGCTGGGGCCCAAGGAAAGAGGAAATGTTGTCCATGTGGAGTGCCAATCTATCATATTAACTTTGTTCCCACTCAAGACATTAACCAGACTTGCACATAGTATAAGAACAGGAAGAGGCCATTCCAGCAGTTTATTAGATCGTGGAGGATCTTACATCTACCGGTTATAAGAATCTACTATTGTAAAGCTTGTCACTTGCATTTTATTAAACAGGCAGCATCTATAATAAATAATACTAATCCTTGCATTTGTTGTAGCTCCTTATCAAGTCTTTGAAACATCTCAAAGCACTTCAAAGAATTGACTGTATAGTTTGTGGGCGAAACACAGCAGCCAATTGCACACAGCAGTGTCCCACAAACAGTCGTGGATTGAATGATCACTTTTTTTTTGAAGGAATTATTAACTCTGGAAAAGCGATTCACCAATCAAATAACAACAAGGTTCCTACTTACTGCTAGGTAAACAGAGGCGTGTGGAGAAGTGAAACTTGCCCAACGTTTCGCCCTGCTGGGAATCGAACCCAGGTCTCTCGCTTGCGAGGTGAGTGCTCTAACTACTGAGCTACAGGACTCCAGGATACCTATTACCTGACTCTGTTGTTGGAGTGAATTTCCATTGCATGGTTTTTATATGTGCCCGTAGGATGCACATTGTGGTGTTCACCATATCATTGGTAGTTGAAGGAAAATTTCTGCCTCTTTGTTTTTCACATCATGGAAATATTTCCTGATTTTCCACTAATTCTACAGGCGGTGAAGATGATCTTAACCCTGTTGGTGATGCTCTTGCTCCCAGGGCAGTGTAACTGAGCCAATTTCCAAACCTGCATTTCCCGAACATCTGAATTTGCAACCTGGATTGGTGACCAGGCTTGGGAACCATTTCCTCTTGGTTCAAATGCTGCATTGTGATAATTGGGGCTCTCTGCTGATTGCTTTATTACATTTCACAAAGAGCAGAGATCACGGGAATGCCTTGGGGGAAAACTGAAGCATTCCCATCTGTTTGTAAATGGATCATCTTGTATCAGCACATCCTTCCTTACAAGTCCCAGGGAAATACCTCTTGGTGACAAAAGAGATATTTAAACTGTAATAATCCTAAATGGGCGAATACTGTACCAGCTCAGAATTTTCGGAAGAGTCTCATTTTAAAGGGATCTCTATTACTATTACCTCTATTATTCTTATATTCAGGGATTTCAGGACAAATACAAGTAAGTATTTATTTACTTATTGTCCTGAGGACATCCCCCATGGCACAGCTACGCTGGTGTTATGTTGGGACATCCTGTCCCTTACCCTATCTTAAATCAGAGGATAATCTTCAGATAGGTAGCAGATCCTAAACTTAAAAACAAATGGGAACAACCTGATAATTGGAGCTTCTTGCCACTAAGTCCCATTCACCGGAACTCACCCGCCCCTCCAAAAAAAATCTCACTGCCTCACACCCTTTGTGCCTTCAATACCCTTCTAAAGACCTACCTCTAGTCAACTCCCTCCTATCTAATCTCGCCATTTCCCACTTTGCTCAGGTTTCCATTTTGAATCTGTAAAGCGCTTCAAGCCCCAAATGAAAGGCACTGTATAAGTGCAAGTTATTATTTTCTGTTCTTATGTCGCATATTGGTGTGAAATATTCCTCATACCACTGAGTTGTGCTATCTCCTGATTTTCCACCCATTGTGGCTGTGCCTGCCCTCAACAACTTGAATAAATTTTTCGCCAACAGTTAGAAACAGGGTACAAAGGTTTCTTATGAAAGAGCCAATTCAGGATGGATAAAGGCGAGAAACCAAAGCCAGCATGAAAGGCCGACAATTTCATTGGAATTTAAAGTTTAAGGGTTTTATCATAGAACAAGATTCTAAGAGTCCACAGTAAAAGGTCCCTCACAACAGACTGTCATTGAAGTGAAAACTCATGTGATTGAAAAGTGAGATATAAATGAGATAATAAGAAACAGAGGGCCACCAAAGGCCATCTTTCCAAATTGAACAGCTGGGATGAGATGAATCTCTTCACATCAAGGGCTGGTGCCTTTTTAAATGATATTTACTAACCGCCTTGATAAAAGCGTTTTAAGTTGAAATCCAAGCTTACAAATGACAAGAATGAGCCTCTTTTGTTGTTAACTCACTTAGCCCACATTGGCAGTTCATGGTTTCACTGCACTCCTAATCTTGTATAACTAACATGCTTTTAGAGGGCATTTGGATAAATTGCTTTGCGAAGCACTTTCAGATGTCCTCCAGATGTGAAAGGCGCTATATAAATATAAATTGTTAGAGCGGTACATATTGGAGCAAATTGCCTGATGATTCAGAATAAGTTCTGCACATGACTGTTGGTGCAACTGAGTTGTAAATGTAGAGTCCAATCCTAGGTTTCCAGATTCTTATCTCACAGGTCATCATATGGTAAAGAGGTCTCAAAGTCCCTGCACTGTGCAGATTGGGATCCAGGCTTGTGCACAGCTTCTTGCTCATTTGTTGGAAACGTAGTATTTTCACTGCTTATCACATAGATGATTAAAGGTTGGCTGTGTACTGGCCATCCTTAGACTGCAATAATACCATGGGGTCAAAATTACTTCCTGCAAGATAAGAAAGTCTAACTCGGGCTTCGAGAGAATGCATTTCATGCTCTTTGCCAGATACTTTTTAAATGTTTTTAGACCAGTAACATTTTAAAAGGCATCTGGGAATCAACATGTCATCTCTCTCTAAATTTTATGAAGAAAGATAGCAGCCATTCTTCCCAAGTTTTGGGGCTGTCCACTCTCAGACCTGTCATTAAGGAAGTTTCCACTTGATGAAGTGCTACTTAATTATAACTGTTATGATGAAGGAATATTGTAATTTTGACTGCAGGCTTTGTTGGTGCAAAGCTGAATCAGTGGGAGCCTATTGGGGTGAAAAATGTGGTATGTGATGTGCTAAATTGAGTTTAGCCAGTGTTCCTCAGCACTGAATGATGGAATAAGTGCACAAAAGAGAACATTGATGGAAGGAAGGTTCAACTGGAGAGAAAAGAGACAGCAAGCAGCATGTCACAGCTGATTTCCAGTTCCCTCAAGAAAACTGAGTAAATGAACTCCAGTAGAGAGTTCGTTATTTGCTATAATAGGGGCTGGCCCCCTTTGTGGATAATGGGTTATCACGTAAAACACAAATTGGCTAAAGTACTAACCAAACACAACTTTCATCAAGAATTTTACTGTTACTATCGTCTCTCTCTGTCTCTCTCATTTTCTCTTTACCTTCATAGATGCATCCTACACCTCATGGAGCCAATACGGAACCTTGGCGTCCTGTTCAACCCTCAACAGTCCTTCATTCCCCACATCCATGCCATGACTTGCTCCACCTTTCCCCACCTCCACAATATTGCCCAGCTCCATCACTGTCTCTCACCACAGGCCGCCGAGATCCTCATCCACTCATTGATCACATCCAGGCTTGACTACGCATACTCCCTGCTTGTCAGCCTCCCCAACTCCTACCTGGACAGAACTCTGCAGCCCATGTCCTCTCCCGCACCAGGCTCCGCAACCCAATCAGCCCCCTCCTCGCCCGGCTCCACTGGCTCCCTATTACTCAGAGGATCCAGTTCAAGATCCTTGTCCTCACCTTCAAAGCCCTCCACAGTCTTGCTCCTCCCTACCTCTGCGACCTCCTAACCCCCTATCAATCTGTTCGCTTCCTCCACTCAGCGGTCTCCATTCTGCTTCACATCCCCCACCTTGCCTGCTCCACCATTGGCAGGTGGGCCTCCACCCTCTCTGCCTTCACCCTCATCTCCTTCAAGACCCGTCTCAAGACCCTCCTCTTCGACTGTGCCTTTAGTTGCCCTCCTACCCCTACTCTCCTGCCACTTCTCCTGATCCCAACCAGCGGCTCGGGGGGGGGATCCTTGACTATCCAGCGCCGTGGTATGTCCACCTGATGTGAAAGGTGCTATACAAATGTAATTTGTTGTTGTATCCATCTTTGGCTGTTCTCACTCTCGCTATATATATTGTTACATCTTTCTCTCTCTTTTTTCCTCCTTACCCAATAGCTGTAAAAAAAAGTTTACTTAATAAGTTTCTCTCTCATTTTTTCTTTACTCATCTCTGACTCTCCCTCTCTCTCTTTCTCTATTGTTAATGTCTTTCTCTCTCTCTGTTCTTCCTTAAGTTATTTCCTGTAAGTTATTGCTAAATAACTCACTAACCTCATCGTTCACAGTAATACTGCGCTGGTAATCTTGCAGGCAAAACCACCTTTACAGCTTTCTGGGGCAGATCATTTCACATCGTCACAACCCTTTGTGTGAAGGAATGCTTTCTGAACTCAATCCTAACCTTTTTGTTCTGACTTTTAGGCAAAACCCTAACATGCCTTTGGTGTGCTCTCAGGCAATTTCTGCTTTTATTTCTTGAGGTCCTTAACAATACATTTCAATCCCAGATTACGACTCCATGACTTTTGCTCTTCCTTGGTCAACTGGGTGTCTGACACATGTGAAAACCCACCACTATGCTTAAGAGTAACCAAACTAAACTGAGAGTTCCATGCATCACATGGAACCAACATGAAAATCCCTGTATATTGGACTATCCCGTTCACAGTGCAGAAGAAATAAATCTTGGCAGATCATGGATCTAATAAACAAAGTTCTGCTCTGTTACATGGAGAGCCATTATACAGACATTTACCCCATGACTGAGGTACAGGCCTGCTCTGTATCACATACCTGGATAATAGTAGCTTTCCATGAAGTCCCAGATCAGCAGCACAGTCATCAGACAAACAGTTCCTCTCAAATACAGTCTGCAAAGTCAACAAGAAACCAATCAGTTAAGTCATGTGTGATAGGAGCAATGCTACAAAAAGTCTTATCGAACATTTAAGAGGGAGATATATAAGGTAAGGTACAGTAATTGGGAAGTATGGTTATTATAGCAAAGGCAGGGAAATGATTTTACAAAAATGAAGCATCAGCAATAAAATGGCTGAGGTGACACCTCATGGACAGCAGCCTATGTGTTAGGAGAATTTAGGAGCAACTGTATTTCATTTCCTTTTTTAGGCATAGAGTGAGGTTGGGGTAGGAGGAAGAATGTGTGCGCCAAAGTATTTGAAATTTGGGGAAACAAAGCAGCAAAGCTCAGAGGAGCAGTTATCATTCTAGCATCATTAAAACAGACAGAAAGAAAAGCATAACTCATATTTTCAATAGAGCCTTATCACATTGAAATTTCCGAAAGAAACTTGTAAAAGCAACACATAAAAGATTACGTTTTCTTGGTCAGCCAGGTGTTTGACGCACACAGAAACCAATCACCATCCAAACCCGACTGTGAGTTTCATGCATGCCACCGACATATGGAAATTTCCATGTCTGGAATGGAATGTTCACACTCTCCTAGGAGTAACTCACAACTAGTTACTACAGTATCAAATCCTGTGACTGTTTCATTGTACATAAATGCAGCAGCCGTTTTGCATCAGCAACATCCACTAGCATCCAGGAGGAGAATGATTGATTCATCCATAGGATTGTTGGCTATTTGGTAAAGGGAGCGACCCCTATAACTCACAAATGTCAAACAGACTTTGTGACACCTCATCCTTCTCATGGAGTGAAATGAATATAGAATTCTGCCCCACAAACTGGAAACAATAGGGTGGGGGAAGGAAACTGCCTCTCTAGACTTAGTCACAGGAACTCATTTCTCAAAACACAGGCCTTAAACATATTGGGTGCAGTTTGATTAGGTGAGTGTCTTCTGAATAATCTCGGATAGGGCCTTTTCAGTGCATGCAGGCTTGTTTCAGTGGCAGGACTCTTGCCTCAGAATCAGAAGGTTGTGGGTTCAAATCCTACGTGGGGACTTGAACTCACTTGCCCTAAGATACTCCAATGCAGTGTTGGGGTGTGCTGCATTGTCAGAGGTGCTATCCTTTGGATTAGATGTTAAGCCGAGGTCCCGTCTAGTGGGCTTTAAAGATCTTTAAAGATTAAAGAGTTTCTCCTGATGTTCTGGCCAACAATTCCCCAAATAAAATTGATCATTCATTTCATGGTTGTTTGTGGGAGATTGCTGTGCACAATTGGGCTATCACATTTACCTACAAATACACAGTCCCTCCATTTCACAGTAAAATCCTGTGAAGCACTTTGTATAATGTCCATCCGGCATTATAAGGTGCTATACCAAGTACAAGGATTATTATTATGCAAAGGAACCCACTGAATGGGAATCCAAGATGGCTCAGGCTTATCAGCAAGATTTAGGTGCCAACATTATTTTTTGAGAAATCTGGGGAGCAGTCTAAATTTTAAAATACATTTTATCCACGTTCTTTCAAAAATTAACTGATTGAGTTTATTACAACTTTGAATCCAAGGGGTAGACTTCAATTGGATTAAATGGGTTAGGGGGGATTTCAGTAAGGCATTCTCTATCCTCTTATGCCTGTCTTCTTCCCGCTTGAAACCCATAACGTACTCTGCTAATACCATCTTAACGTTAAAGTGATTCTTGTTAAAATGTGGTGGATCATGGGTCAATGAGCCTGTCAGACGATTCAATCTAAAGAGATCTCTGGTATGGACCACACATGAAGTTATCATGGACCAGCAATAGGCCATGGACTGGTCATTGCAAAACACTGCTTTAGATAGTTGACTTCATTGGCTGCAATCGTCCAATGTCAGTTTTAATACGTTTTGCAAGTTCTTGCAGAGGTTGTTAGGGGAAGGAACACACAAGCATCTTTTGACACCTTCTCATAAAAATGATTATTCGAAACATCCTACTAATAGCCATGAAAATGTTCACATGGTCACAGCTTGTTCGACCTTAGGGAGGCTGTGGAAATAAAACGGTCGCGCAAGCCCTGAATGAAACCTAAACTTCCAATATATCTTTATAGATACTACTTGTTCTTGTTTCACCCGGACACACTGTTTTCAGATACTATTCTTTAGGTGATTTTGTTTTATCTCTCTCCTTAATGTGTTTGAGGATTAGGGATCCAGTGATCCAAGGATCTCAATTACAGTGAAGCCCAGTCCTACACCATAGCAAGGAATTGACTAACCATGAGGGCAGCTGGCCAGTTCCTGTGAAAAAAAAGATGGTCGACTTCTGGGTCAGCAAAATGCCACTTCCTGTTTGCTCTGCAGGTGGCAGTGAAACGGGGAACACTGCAACTGCATTATAAGATGACTGCACCACAGTGAAGCGGGTTATAATGGAGTTTCACTGCACATGCTTAGGCCCCAACAGAAACAAGCAGACCAGGAGCATTGCTTTGGGAATGTCTTAGAAGGGCACTCGGTAATCGCTGTCTCCTTGTGACCAATGCCATAGTACTACTATCAGCTTTCCTGGTGGGCAGGCAGAACCTTCCTTGGCTTAACCATTTAAGGTCCTGGAATAAATCTTTCAGTTTTCAGACAAAGTGAAAAGAACCTTCAACCTCACAGAACACCGTCAATATCTGCCATGGAATGATTTATGATTGTTCTGAGGGATTTCAGAATAGAGCAAACAGCAAAGCTGCCAAGTTAATTCTTTTGTAGCTGGGTGAATGACATCTGTTTTGCCCTTGATGAAGAGCAGGCTATGAGATGTCAAGCATTCTTATTTATACGGTAATCCTCTGTATAGTGTGATTGTACATAATACATGGACACGCTATCTATCTCTGGTGTGGTTAGCTTACACCTACCATCCAAGCCTAAATTCTAAAATAATTTGAGTCTAAAATGATGTTTCTTTCCAGGAAGCTTTTATGGCAAACTATAAGGCAATTGGCAGTAGAATGAATGCAAGATTCCTGAAGGGATGGCTCCAATTGAGGATAAGTTGAAAGGTCATTATTTGACCTTGGGAATCAGCTGTAGGAAATGACTGGCACTATCTGGAATGTTAAGCAACCTCACTACATCAGTCTTCTACAAGGAATAAGGAGAAGGCAAAGCAATGCAAATGCAAGGCAGTCAGTTCGACAACCTGTTATTCTTTTATGTTTTGAATAATGTATTATTGGACTTCTTTTGTGTGTTTGTTTAGGAATTAAAGAAGGAATCTGTCAAGGTTTTCTTTCCATTGTTTGCCTCTTTTGAAAAGATTTAGTTTCTGAGCAACTACTTCACGCAGAGGGAGCTCTCATGACAGAGAACATTCTGCTTGGGTGAAGGCTATTTCAGACATCTATCTGATTGTCGTCAAGTGTTTATGAGAACAATGGTATCCATTGAAAAGTCAGCAGGAATTCAGTAAACTTGTTAAATAGAGTCACTTGCAATAATACTGTAATAGAAAGTAATCCCTGTATTTGTTATAGGAAATGTCAAGAAGCCACCTCAACCGGCTTTACAGTAAAGTATATAATGATTATGTATGTTGTAGACCCATATGGGAGCCAACTTGCACGCAGCATTGTCCCTCAAACAGCTTTGGGGATTGCTAGTCAGAACACCGGGAAAAAACTCCCTTCTCTTTTCAAATAGTGTCATGGGACCTTTAACGTCCATTTGAACTGGCAGACGGGACCTTGGTTTAATGTCTCATCTGAGGAACAGTATGTTGAAGAATCCAGGACACCATATTGGAGTGTCAGCCTGGACTGATATGAGTTCAAAGTCCCATTGTGCGGCTTGAACCTACAGTTTTCTGATTCAAAGACTTGATTGGTACCAAATGAGCCAGACTGACAGCTACTCTGAGTCCTGTAGCTCAGTGGTTAGAGCACTCACCTTGCAAGTGAGAAACCTGTGTTCGATTCCCGGCAGGGCAAAACCTTGGGCAAGTTTCCTTACTCCACAAGCCTGATAATAATTTCAGTCAAAATATTTCAGTAACACGGAACTGGCTGGCATGTTCACAAGACTGGGGGAACTGTGTGTGTGGAGTTCTGTAGCTCAGTGGTTAGAGGACTTGCTTTGCAAGTGAGAGACCTGGGTTTGATTCCCGGCAGGGTGAAACCTTGGGCAAGTTTCCTTACTCCAGACGCCTGACAACAGTCCCTCAAGAAAAAAAACGATAATAAATTTGTCACTTCAATCCACGACTGTTTGTGGGACACTGCTGTGCGCAATTGGCTGCCGCGTTTCGTCCACAAATATACAGTCAATTCACTTTACAGTCTATTCTGTGAAGCGCTTTAAGACGTCTAGAAGATATGAAAAGCGCTATATCAAATGGAAGGATTATTATTATTATTTAGTTCCCATGGATCAGCTAGAGTCAGTTTATGGTAATCAATTATCCTCCTCCTATGCTATGCTTCATACACAAATTCAATGGGTGACACGGGAGTGTAATTTGAATTGTCAATCACATCTGTCACTACTAATTCTAAGGCTTTGAGTAAAATTTAATCTACAAATGATTAAAGCAGAGAACAACCCAAGATTTGACACTGTTTGAGTTACGTTTTCACAGCAGGGTGTTTCAAAATGCTTCCCCCAATATGGTTAAAGGCCTTTAAACAAAATTATTTATGAGATTAGTCATGAGGAAAAAAGTCCAGAAATAACAACTATGGAAGGATTTCCTGTGGCTGAGCAGTTTCTGCTCTACTGGAAGGATCTCAATGGTTTTGCTGGGCATTGAAGCTGCAGGAAAACACCAGGGTCATTGCAGTCTGAAAGACACTGCAGTTGTTAACTTATTCAGAAAATCAGTCTTGATATGTCTGAGACTAAATCATTCCTACTGTGTGAATTGGGGAGGACATCTTTAAGGTAGTAGGAGAAAAAGGCTTTTCAGGCAGATTCTAAACTGAACATTATTTAGCACACAGCCCAACAGTCA